AGAGAGAGAGAGAGAGAGAGAGAGAGAGAGAGAGAGAGAGAGAGAGAGAGAGAGAGAGAGAGAGAGAGATGCCAATACCATTTGCAATGAACCAGTCAAAGAAGAAATGAGCATCTCGTTCCAAAGAGGTCATAATGAAGCCTTTGGCACTTGAGCACTGGCCTGTCTCTCCAGTTGTTTCTGAGGGTGCTTGGTCCATAGATTGTGGCAACGGGTGAAAAACAAGTGCGACAGCTGCTTTTTAGATGGACGACGAAGGCATTGAACCACCAGTACCTCCAAGCCTCATTTTCCCAACTCTGAATTTCGCCCACCCCTGGAATGCCAAACTGCTCTGGGGGTTGGGCCTGGAAATGTGCACCCGTATGCATCACATTTGCCCCATAACCGTTTCGACGGGCAAAATATATATTTTTCGTTTATCAATATTTTAATAATTTTATTACTTTTCCCTTCATGCAACATGTATCGTCACATCCATGTTTTCAATCTTTTTCGGTTGAAGGAATGGCAGCGGAAATTGTTGACATCAGGACACTGAACATTTCGCGCAACCCCGGGGCCTCCTACACGTCCTAACTCATGTAGGACGAACCCATCTACAGCGCTGGGTTAACAGGCGGGTGAGCATGGGGTAGCTGGACACAGTGGGCAGTTGAGTGGTGATTTAAAAAACACAAAACTTCAACAACGCAAACGAAGAAAGAAGAAACAATTTCAAACAAACAATGGAAACATATTTTATTACACCAAACTCTCATGGCTACTACAGCCACAGTCTTAGTCACAGCCATAGGCATATATTTATTATATTGTCAGAGGCGGTCAGCTCATTACCTTGTAGTGTCTTGCTGTAGCAGGGACGGCATCCCACGTCTGGGTTAAGGCGTTAAACACCTTGTTGGGCTCCCCATTCTCCGCATTTATTGCACCAATAAGCAAATTGTTGCTGATGTTATCAAGATGCCCTCGATACTTCAGCCACGGCCCAGCCATGCTGATATGGTCCGTCGTGCACTTCCCCTTTGCCTGGCCGGCAAAAAACAAAATATTCCAAGAAGAAAG